ACAGATGTAGTATTAAGAGGGTAAAATACCAAATGTGTTGGTACCTCTATTATTTTATAACCCGCAGGTACATTCGGGTAAAACTCATGTATTGTATGGCACTGCTTGCCGTTGTTGAATGAACCCATAACTAGGTTTGAATCGATATATATACAGTTTGTTCTGGTAATATTGACCAACGTATCAGATTGATGTCTAACATTGGCTTCGTATATTTGATTTTTAAAACCCAACAACTCGCCTATACTATTCGATACAGATAAATCTATAGATTTGCTGGACATCATCTCACATTTAAGTGTGTTATTATCGGCTCTCAGCTCAAATGTTTCATTACTACCTAATACACGTTTTATTACTGTCTCGATTTCATGTAATTCATAAGAACCAGTAGGTATTGTAAAATCATAACTAATCACGTTATCTGCGTGATCGTTGTATGTGAATCCTATTCGATTACATTTATCATCGATGTTAGGAATAGAGTTATTTGTTTGAAAACCCAATAGACAGATCTTAGCATTTTTACTGACTTCTATAGGCGGGAAAAAGTCGCATGACAATTCGCTAGAGTTACCAGTTAACGTTATTGTATACATGACAAATAACAAATAACAGCAAATAACAGCAAATACAAAAAACTTTTGGACTTAGGAGCGCAAAAAAATCGAGACGTACCCGTGATGGAGTACGAAAATCGACAGACGTGTTGGCCACATAGATAATATAATCTTATATTATCTATGGTTGGCCATGTGTTTTTGTTGTTATGTGTGCAATTGCCGACTGATAGTGTAGCCTCAAACCACAGAAAACTTTAAAAAAAGGGAATTTCTCGGTATGTGGCAGCACGTTTAAAATTCAGAAATGTCGGACGGTTTTTCGATGAGCCTTGAGATTCCTTTCTATTTATTCTGTGGTATAACCATATAATTATAAACATCAACAATAAAGTGGACTGTGGTTAAATTATTTATACATAATTATTTTTTATTAAATCAAAATGGAACATTGTATTGACTTTTATAGACATGTTATTTACAATGACAAATCTTGCACCAATTTTTTAAAACAACGTGGTGTATTGCCCACTGCTAAAGTATGCCAAAAAGTTAATTCAAATAATGAAGTATGTGGAGGGGCCCTTAAGGAGTATATGAAAAATACTCGCAAACGTGATGGAGAAGGTAAAGTTATTGAATAAAAGTCCTTACTTTTGTTACTGACCGTAGATTTTTTATAATTGAAAAGAGAGATAGGGGTATGTTACTTCCAATTATTCAACGTGAAGTAGAAGTTGGATCAACAATTCACTCGGACGAATGGAGAGCTTACAGCAATTGAAGTGACAACGGCTATGTGCATAAAACTGTAAGCCACCAGCTCCACTTCATTGATCCAGAAACAGGGGCCCATACCCAATCTATAGAGTCTACGTGGAGACGCGTCAAAGTAAAATATGGCATAATAACACGTGGTGCCACTAACTTATTGAAACAGCAGTAGATGGAAGAGTGGCAGCGTTCACTCAATGCATCAAAGAATCTTTTTGACCAGTTTTTTGAAGACATGAAAAAAAGTTCTTTAATGTAATAATTCCCAGATGCCCAGACGACACCTACAATCTCTACAGATTGCGTGTGTTAGCAACTTGGCTACACTGACTTCGCTGTTCTGGCAAGGGCTGTCCTGAAGGTCTGATAATGAGGAGGCCTGTCAGTCAGTTCACTCTCATGACACCAACAAAGCAGTATCAACTCAAACTGTGTTTCAACCAGCCAATGTTATAGACCACGGAACCATTCCCGGTTCAAGACTTCGAAAACCACCCAATTACCTTAGAGATTACTCTTGTTAAACACCCTAACCATTTAACTTTAAGTTAGGGCCGTGTTAATTTTTTTTTTTTTTTTGTTTGGTTTGGTTTTGTTATGTTCCTAATACATAAGTGGTAGAGGCCTACTCTGATTACAGTTAACTATTTAATTTCTCAAGGCTGAGTTTTTTTATCTATGTTTATAATATGTATTGTCTATTAAAAAATGGGTCATATTGTACAGTTGAGTTCCTATCAAATAATTCAATAAATATTAAATTTTTTTTGCTCTGAACTATTTGTCTTATGGTACTGCACAAGACAAAGTAGTTGTTAAATATTATAATTAATTTTTTAAATGTAGTACGTTTTATAAATTGTTTGTCTACTGTTCAGAGCAGAGTAGTTTGTTCAGTATTATGTTTTTTTAATTATGTTAAATTTATGTATATATTGTTTGTAAAATGTTGTTATACTAATGACGGGTTATTATTATTATATTCCTATTATATTATTTGAATTTACTTGAAATTTGTAAGATTGCAGGGAGTATGGCCCGAGGGCGGTCCATAAGTCAGGACGGTCGAATGTTAGCAACTTGGCTACACTGACTTCGCCGTTCTGGTAAGAGCTGTCCAATGACCTACCCCTCCCCCCCCCTGCAGTCAGTCTTGTTACCTCCGTTGCAACCGACGTTTGTGTTGTTGGGTAATGACCCACCGTTTCTTTACATTTACATCAATAAACGTTTTGCTAATTGTTAGTTACTTTGTTTTAATTGTTTTAACCACCTATTATTATTTATATTGTTAATACGTGGTAGATAACATACAACGCCAACACACAATTGTGGTAGATACATTTTTCAAGTAGATAGCATACGACGCGAGTACCGATACCTCCAACCTATATTCTATTTTGTGCAATTTAAATTATAATCTATCTGTTTAATTAATATCTTGAATTTTCCATTTTGAGAAAATTGCCCACTTATTTCTTTAGCTGACATCAAAAGTATAATTCATGACCAAAACAATTCTATTGAAAGAAATAACAAGATTAATAAGTTGAAAGCGAAGATTGATGGAATTGTTGAAGAAGGCTGTTGGACGTTTGATGATGTTTTTTCAGAACACAATTACAGTGATTTAGATTCTTCTGTATTTGATTGCATCGTTTATTTTTTAGCTGGGTAGTATAAATATCATTAGTTCAACTTACTATCTATAGCTGTATATTCTAGTTATGTCCAATAATAAATTAATTATTGTTGTTAAAATAATAAAAAAAGTAAATGTACACTGTGCGTCTGTGCATTCAAAGTCTGACAACACATTTGAAATCAACACATTTGGCAGCTGATTCGGTTTATATTAAAACAAAAGGATTTTTAGTTCATCCCCAACACAATTTATTTAAAATTTTAGAAGCATTATAACTGTGTTTTATGAAACATTCAGAAAAAGCAGATCCTTTTACCGACACATATCGTCGGCTTAATTCGCAATTATCGTAACTCCAAAATGACGATTTTGAGATTATTATTTATTTTTTTTAGAAAAAAATTAACGCATCGTTTAAAACCATTCTCACTCTGATAAGACAATTTCTCTTCCATGAATCAGCTGTTAACGTTCGGACGAAAATATCTCAACTCCAAGTAGCCTCCAACCAAGGGAAATTGTCGTATCTCCATAACATGTGATGAAATATTATTAATCCAAAGTTAGACGTTACAAATTACAATATTATTATTTAGTTTTTGATATTATATTATAATATTGAAGTATAATGACGTCCAGATCAAGAACAAAAAAACTGTTAAGTTTAGTTCCAAATAACTATACAATTACTGGTAAAGCATCAATAATTTAATAATACTATATTGTCTACTTACAATTTAACCACTATTATTATAAGGACAACATATTTTTTTTATAACATATAAAATAGAACTATAATTGTTACGGGCCAAAGGGCTTATTAGGCATTTAGGCGGGCTTTGGGCAAAGGTTTAATGGACTGTATTTTTTGTGAGATAGAAATTAACGCTGTTGTTATTAAATAAAGTAGATGGCATTTAATTTACCAATACAGTGGCACAAATAATAATTTAACATAATAAATAATTGTTCTGGCTTGACAGCACAGATAATACATGCATAACAATATAACAAATTATAGAGAATAATGTGTCTGGCCTGGTGGCACAGATGATAATAATACACTAATTGATTCTGGCCTGACGGCACAGATTATAATTTATACAAGGATTGATTCTGGCCTGACGGCACAGATTATAATTTAATAACATAAAGTGTCTGGCCTGATGGCACAGATAATAATAAAATAACATAAAGTGTCTGGCCTGATGGCACAGCTAATAATAAAATAACATAAAGTGTCTGGCCTGATGGCACAGATAATAATACAGATACTTAATAATACAATATTTGATTCTGGCCTGACGGCACAGATACTTAACAATACAGTATGTAATAATAAGTTTGTTGTGGTGCACCACCTACCTATTGTGAGGTTATGGGGTGTGTGGTGCCGGGATCTGTAGGTAACTATTTAAATACAATAAAAATAACAGGTGTGATCCCGCACACACACAGCACCACCGCTAACCTCCTCACAGAAGTCACCTTTCACCACAGACAACCCTGAGCGTTGACCCCACCATCACCGAACAACCACGCAGGTTTAAATGGATGGTCCGTCACGCCAAGACACACCTGGATGTAGGTATCATCCTAGACTAGGAGAGAAAAATGCCAATTATAATATCATCGACTAGAAAATGAAGAACGATAGTTACTTGATAATGAACGAAAACCACAAAAACGCCAATACAATATACAACATGTGTTCAACTTTGCCTTGAAGACAACATGAGTCATGAAAAACAGCAGAAAAAAACTGTCACTGTACTTTCGACCGGTCTGCTTAAGCACGAAGCACCAAAAAAAAAAAACGAAAGAAGAAAAAAGAAAAGACCGACTGCGTAAAACTGCTGCATCACGTCCGTTGACTTATCAACAGTACAAAGTTAGGAACGTAATGCAGACAGTTTACGACTACTCATACCTGATATCTCCTATCTCAAACATTATAAAAAAAAAATGATATTTAAAAGTATATAGCTGCTGGCTGGGGAATCAACTTTATTAAAGTTTGATTAAGCCATAACATTCTCCCCCTCCTGAAGGGATGGAGGAACTTCATCGTTGGCAGCATATGGAAGTGGACACAATTTGATGATGGGTCTCTGGAACATTCTGCCGCTCGACATCTGAATGGTCACAACTCTTACAATGCTATCTAAACCTGGGTGCAGCCTCATTACTCTGCCCAAATGCCATTTGAGTGGTGGTTGATTGTCCTCAATGACTAGCACCAAATCGCCAATCTTTATTGAGAGTTTGTCAGCCGTGGTCCAACGCTTCCGTGGTTGGAGGGATCTGAGATATTCGGACGACCACCGTCGCCAAAACCCTTGAGTCATGCCTTGGACTAGTTGCCATCGTTTTAAGTAATTGACAGGTTGTTCTGGATGTTGAGGTTCAGGAGGTAGAGTCAGACAACCACCTACTAAAAAGTGAGCAGGTGTCAGCACAGCAAAACTTTCTGGGTCACTAGACTGTGATGTTAGTGGTCTACTGTTCAAGCATGCTTCAATTTGACATAGCATGGTGGTTAGTTCTTCAAAGTTAAGTTTGGCTGACCCTGTGATGCGTAGAAGATGGTGTTTGGTAGACTTTACTGCCGCCTCCCATAGTCCACCCATATGTGGTGCACTGGGTGGATTAAAATGCCACTCGGTACCATCTGTTGCTAGGGACTCAATTATGGTTTTGTTGTTCTGACAGTGTTCCGTGTAATAGCGTCTTAACTCTGCCCTGGCGCCGTGGAAATTGGTTCCGTTGTCCGAGTGAATATGAGCACTTTGACCTCGTCGCGCGAAGAATCTACGTAATGCAGCCAAAAAGGCTTGTGCTGAGAGATTACTCACTGCCTCGAGGTGAATCGCACGCGTGCTGAAGCACACAAATACTGCAATGTAAGCCTTGGTTACCGTTCGATTTCTTGGTCCAGAATATATTTGTATTGGGCCAGCAAAATCTACACCCGTTGCTGTGAAAGGTCTGCTGGGTGTTACCCTGAGCCGAGGTAGTTCTCCCATGCTGGGCTGAAATGACTGGGGTCTTGCATGATAGCAGATTTGACAACAATGAACAATACGTCGAGCAGTTTTCATTGCATCAAGTGGCCAAAATTCTTGACGTACTCTTGTTAAGAGGTTTTGGGGACCGGCGTGCAGATACTTTATATGATATTCTGTGAAAATTAGTTCCGTAACGTTATGCTTCTTTGGTAGAATTGCTGGATGACGTTGGTTAATGGGTAGGTGTGATCTTTGCAACCGTCCACCCACTCTGATGATACCTTCTTCCAGAAACGGACTTAGTGTGATAAGTTTATTATGTGATGATAATGACTTGCCTTGTTTAAGCGACTTGACTTCATCGTAGAATGCCTCTGTTTGAGCAATCCTTATCCATACATCTCTGGCAGTCTTTAATTCTGTTACTGACAGTGGACCAATGAGACTGTTTCGACATTTATGGTGGGTATTGTGTATGAATCTTTTTAAATATGCTGTAATGCGAATTAATTTTGTCCAACTTGAGTATTTAGCTAGAATACTATTTTCTTGAGTTTGAACCAAGAGCGCAAATTGAACTGGACGTTTTTCAAGAAGTTCACTTGATGGTGCAGATGAACATTCTGCCGGCCACTCTGTTTTTGGCTGCTGGAGAAAGGTTGGACCGTACCACCAGAGATTTGAGTGTAATAGGTCTTGTACCTTTACACCTCGGGACGCTAGATCTGCAGGATTGAACTTCGTCCTAACATGTTGCCAAGTCATTTCTTCTGTTAATGTCTGAATTTCAGATACACGATTTGCAACAAAGGTGCTCCATTGACTTGAGATTCCTCGGATCCATGTTAACGCAACTGATGAATCTGTCCAACATGTACAACAATTTGAGCTTACATCTAATGTCTTTCTCACCTTAGCCATCAACGTTGCCAACACATGAGCACTACACAATTCCAACCTTGGAATAGACAATGCCTTTAGAGGTGCTACTCGAGCCTTCGCGATCAGAAGATGACATGTGAAGGTGTTGTCCGGTTGTAATTGTCTTACATAAATGCAAGCTCCATAGGCGTTCATGGAGGCGTCACAAAACCCATGTAATTCGAAACTGTTGCACGGATGATCCTTCACCTTGCGCACTACCTTGAGCTGATCAATCTGACAAAGTTCATTAGTGTAATTATGCCAGCGTTGAGACATGTCAGCTGGAAGAACAGTGTCCCAATCAAGCTGTAGTTGCCATAATTGCTGAATAAATATTTTTCCACTAATCAAAATTGGTGCCAGAAATCCCAATGGATCAAAAACACGATTTAAGTCTGCCAGTAATGTGCGTTTGGTGAATAAATGTCCCTTTGCATGAGGCGACACCTTAAATAGAAGTTGATCATCCCTTGGTATGATCCAAGTGTTTTGGTTGTATGATTGTCATCTAATTCAAGCATGACATGAGGATCATCGTTTGTGTTTGCTATGTTAACGAGTAGTTGCGGACTATTAGCACACCACTTACGAAGAGTCATTCCTGCTGACTGGAGTATCATGGTGACTTCTCTTTGGATTTCTTGACATCTGCTGATTGAATGAGAACCTGTTATTAGGTCGTCGACATAGAAATCTTGTCTGATGACTTGAGCTGCCTGTGGATGTTTCGCTTTGTTTATGTTTGCAAGTTCTTGTAAACACCGCGTAGCTTGGAAAGGAGCTGATGTCGTTCCATAAGTTACTGTGTTGAGTTGAAAATGTAGCAATTCCTTTTCCGGCGAATCTCTCCATAGTATTCTTTGGTAGTTCCTATGTTCTTGATCAATTAAGATCTGTCTGTACATTTTTTCAATGTCAGCAGTCATGACAAATCTGTGCATTCTAAACCGTAATAATATTGATACCAAATCATCTTGGACAACTCCACCATTCATCAGCATATCATTTAGAGATTTACCACTGGTGGTCTTGGCAGATGCATCAAAGACAACTCTTGTTTTGGTTGTGAGGCTCTCTGCTCGCAGCACTGCATGATGTGGAAGATAATTGTTGTGTATCATTAATGTGAATAATAACGCAAACGTAAATTATAGTCTTTTATTGTCAAACATATAAATCGTAATGTCGTATAATGAAATTATGTGCTGGCTACTGATCGATGGACAATCCCCACCGATCGTAATATGATACTTATTATTATTAATGGTTAAACACTACGTTTCTTATATTATATAAATGCTGAATATGCAACATATCTTTCCTTTAAAAAAAACAGGAAAAAAAAAAAAATATATATATATATATTTGTATTATATAGTGTAGTACTTAATTGCTATGTTGGTGTATATTTTTTTTTTTTATTACATTAATCATAATCACTTGGAGAGTATCGCTGAGGCGGTTTTCTAGATCTAACTGGCCTGGGTGTTTTATTCACTATAATGGGATCAGGATTTTTATTTTCACCTGCTGGTTCAGTATTTTCCGAATTTTCATTTGTTTGTTTAGTGGGTGTAAGTGAAACAGAATTACCCGAAGGTGTCAACGATTTGTCTATCAGTAATTGATCATTGTGCCTTGTCCAAATAGTTCCGTCATCCAGTTCTACATCATGTGTATTGTAACTTATGCATTTGATAATTTTACCCTTTTGCCATTTATTGTTATTGTTCCTATAATCTCTAGCTAAAACATTATCGCCTATATTAAATGATACAGCCCTATTACCGCCATTGTTTATTTGTGATATTTGTCGTTCAATAACCACTTCACTTGTACTCGGAATTAACGCGTCAAACTGTGAACGTGTTGTTCGACCTAGCATTAGCTGAGCTGGCGTTTCTCGTGTGGTTGAATGAGGAGTATTACGATACATCAAAAGAAATTTATTTAATTGGGATTGTTTAGTTGAGCATTTTTTAAAGAAATTTTTTATTGTTTTGACTGCTGATTCAGCACAACCGTTCGATTCCGGGTGGAAAGGTGCACCTGTCATATGCCTTATGCCTAGATTTTTGCAATATGCTTGAAATTCAAAACCTGTGAAACATTTTGCGCCGTCTGATGTAATTGTTTTTGGAATGCCAAATCGTGCTATGGTTTCTGAAAATTTTTGAATAACAGTTTCTGCTGTCATAGAATTTACTTGAAATACTTCTAACCATTTTGTGGTTGCGTCAACAATGACAAAAAAATATTTATTTTGAAATGGTCCAAGAAAATCGCAATGCACTCTAGTCCACGGTTTTTCTGGCCATTTCCAAGGTGATATAATAGATTTTGGTGGATTTTGCCTAACACTAAGACAATTGTCGCAATTTTGCGAAATATTTTCAATTTCTTTATCCATTCCTGGCCACCAAAAGTATGATCTCGCTAAACTTTTCATACTGGAAGAACCCATGTGACATGAATGAAGTTCGCTTAGAATATTGTTTCGAAATTTTGCTGGTATAATAACACGGTAACCCCATAATAGGCATCCCTGTTCCACCGAAATTTGAGTTTTTCGTATATTGTACGACTTAAGTTCTAGATTATTAGAAAAATCACTATTCCATTCTCCTGTTTTGACTGCGTTTAATACTTTGGCGAGAATTGTGTCTCTACTTGTTTCGATTTTTATTTTAGACCAGTCTAATGTGAAAGGTGATTGTTCGTGAATAAAGTTAAGATTAATACATCCTTCATTTTGATTTTCTATTTTTGATTTTGAACCTTTTATTCGTGATAGAAAATCAGCTGTATTATCTTCGGATTTCACATATTTTATATCGAAATCAAATGATGATAGAACATAGGCCCATCGTTGTAACCGATTTGCCGCGTAAATTGGGATACCTTTCTTATCACCGAAAATGTATATTAACGGTTTATGGTCGGTTTCTAATAGAAAATGCCTACCATATAGATAGTCGTAGAATTTTGTAACACCGTAAATAATTGCCAAAGCTTCTTTTTCAATTTGTGGAAATTTACATTCTGACTCAGATAAAACCCTTGAGGCATAGGCTATAGGTTTTTCTGTACGATCTGGATATACATGCGAAAGTACTGCGCCTAGTGCATATGATGATGAGTCTACTACGAGTTTAATCGGAATATTATGATCGTAATGTGCTAATACGGGTTTCGAAATTAAAATTTGTTTAACTCTATTGAATGCTTTGTCACATTCTGGTGTCCAATTCCATTCACTGCCGTTACGTAAAAGTACGTACAGTGGTTTTAAAATATTTGCAGCGTTTGGTATAAATTTTATATAATACGTGACTAAACCTAAAAATGATTTTAGCAATGTTTTATTTTCTGGGACAGTTGCATTGCTTATAACATCTGTGTGTTTTGTTAGTGTGTGTAGACCATTTTCATCTAACCTGTGACCCAAATATTCAATTGATTTTTGCATAAATTTGCACTTATTCAACTTAACTCTTAAACCTGTATTAGACAATACATTTAGTAATTTTTCCAGACGAGCATTGTGCTCTGTGATAGTAGATCCTGCAACAATTATATCATCTTGGAATATACCTATGCCCTCAAGTCCTGCTGCGCAAGTTTCCATAGCTTTTTGGAACTCCCCTGCCGATGATTTTATACCGAAAGGGTTACGGGTATAGCTAAATAAACCTTTGTGTGTATTAATAGTGGTATATTTGCGATCAGATTCTTTAATGACCATTTGTTGGTATGCGTCTTTTAAATCTATTTTTGAAAAATATTTTGAACCACTAACATTTGCAAATAAATGTTCTATTTTTGGAAGAGGGTATTCGGTCCCTTCTAATACCGGATTAATTGTTATTTTAAAATCACCGCAAATTCTAACCGTGCCGTCCGGTTTTAATATTGGTACTATTGGAGTTGCCCATTCACTGTGGTCGACGGGAACTAAAATATTGCTTTTAATTAAACGCTCAATTTCGGTTTCAACCTTTGGTTTTAATGCTAACGGAATAGACCTAGGTTTGTAAAATTTAGGTACCGCCCCAGGTTTGATATTTAGGGAAATTTCGTATTTGTTAAAAGTACCTATTTCATCTTTAAACACACTGTTAAATTTGCTTATAATACTATCGACATTTTCGTAATTTTCAATATTAAACAAAGTAAAACATTTTATATTTTTTATATCATTTCGACCTATTAGTGGAGGACCACCATTGTCGATTACATAAAGACACATTGTAAATTTTTTATTTTGATATGCCGCGTTTACAAATGTTTTTCCAATCGGTTTAATTTCGTTGCCGACGTAATCGGAGAGCGAGATATCATTTTTTTTTAATATGATATGACTAAACAGTTGATGATATAATCTTTTTGAAATTACGCTGTGTTGTGAACCAGTGTCAATTTCGAAGTTAACGTTGTTGTTTTCTACGATTAAATTTACTGTAAACGGTTTCACCGCCTTTTTTTGAGAATTTTGATCAACAATAGAAAAAAAAGTATTCGCAAGATCATAATTAACTGTTTCGTCATCATCGTCGTTATCGTATAAAAATTTATTTTGTGTCTTTTTATTATTATTCATTTCTTTCTTACCCTTTTTACATACAGTTGACAAATGACCCTTTTCACCGCAATTGTTGCATTCGTAGTCCTTGTATCTGCAGTCTTTTTGAAGGTGATTGGAACGGCCACAAACCCCGCATTTGATTTTTGAATGAAACCCCTGCTTGGCTTGACTATGTCCATTGCTTTTTTTCTGGTACTTCAAATCTACGCGTTCTTCTTTGTTCCAGCTGCTTTTGTCGTTGATTGCAGCTTCTTTGGCTGTCGCAATTTCCATTAGTTTTGAATATGTAACTCCAACATTTGCAGCATCTTCTTCTAACAGACGATCTTGTATTGGTCCTGAACCCATGCCGACAACAAATATGTCTCGAATAACCGTTGTTAATTCCGATGAAAAGCCACATTTTGAAGCAAGATTTTTGACACGTGCACCCCATTGGCACACTGATTCATCTTGTCTTTGTCTAGCTTGATAAAATGTATACCTAGCCGCAAAGTACGATTTTACCGGTTTGAAATATTTATTCAAACTTTTTATTAGAGTATCATACTCCACATCGTTAGGCGTGCTAGGAACACATAAACTGAAAAGCACTTTATGTATTTCTTCACTCACTGACGATAGTAAAATTGCTCTTTTTTGAATCTTGTTTTCAATCGAATTTGCCATAAAAAAATTTGTTAATTTTGAC